AACTCGTGATCCAGGGGCGTTTGATAGATCGTGTGTCTACTATTGCTTCTATCATGAAATCTTCTTATCTGAGAAGAGCATGTTCACTTATAGTCTACCAGTCAGATACCACTCATACCTTACCAGGTAACCCAGTGTAACAATCCCTCTCTGGATAGTTAGTGCTTGGCGACGGGGAATGATACTTCTCTTCCTGTCTTCTTCTTCCTTTGTCTTACGATAGCTTGAGGCCTCTGCCTACGTTACCGATAGTACAAGACCCTTGTCTTCTACCGGGAACACCTATCGTAAGCTTTCTCTAACTCTTCTTCGTAATGCGCCTTCCTTGGCGTAACGATAATGTTGCAATAAAGATAATGATCGTAAAGGTGTTTTATATTTGTTAAAGTAATAAGTAGGAAAAGTACTTAGAACAAAGTATGAAGAACCTATCTTCCTCGGCCGCATCGGCCTCCTTATATAGTGTTCTTCCCGCCTTTAGTCATGTGGCCTAAAGTGGTCACATGTGTGAAACCAAATCATAACAAACTAGTCATATGACCAAAGTGATCACATGCTCAAAACCCATGACCTCATAGCGAGGTCATGTACAAAACTCATAAACCAATCATAATGCAATAAACAAGTCATATGACTCGACTGAGTCATATGTACGAAACCCATGACCTCATAATGAGGTCATGTGCGAAACATCAATCATATGTGCAAGGCTTACCCGCAAGGCACACTCGCAAGGCATACTTGTCAGGCGCATATCCTAAGACTCATACTTGAGCCATGTGCGAAAGCATCACAAATCCCACACATAACAAATCATATAACCCGAATAGGTCATATGCGCGAAACAATAACATACCTGTGACTCATAACCATGTGTCACGTGAAAACCCTTTTCTCGCTAAGCCACATTCATGACATTAGCTCGCCTCCTCCTAAGCCTGAGTCCTATCAGGCCTTTTCTCCTAGTTTCAATAGTTCCCGTCCTGCCGAGCGCATGGTCCTTCTCAGCTTGTGGAACTTTTCGTTGGCCGTCCTCCATCTGACCCTCACTAATTCCAGAGTCAGGTTCGCTATTTCGATCCTGTGCTACCGATTGTCATTCAGCTGTTTTAGCTCC